TGTCTAGAGGTCAACAACGTGTACAAGATTTTTGGACAGACACAAAGAATTATTATTGTACGAAAAGTGAAATCATATTTTTATTCATACAGTATACCCCCGTTAACGTCAACCCCCGATAACGTCAACCGATTCGCTGGTACCCTTTCAAATTTAGCAGTTAGAGATTTTGCCTATTCTCTACCCCCGGTGGTCGTCAACCCTCGATATGGTCAACACTTTTGCTGGTACCCTGAGGGTTGACGTTAACGGGGGTCGACTGTAGAAAGAAATAAGACAACTATGGAGAAACAAAGATTACAAGCAAATAAGGCCAGCAAGCGACATGAACAGACAGAAGCTAGCTAAATTAGAGGTACCAATGGCGCTTCCATAATATCGTCACGAGACATATAAAACAGAAGCCCAGAAACGAGCTTACATTGACCATCGTAAAGGGGAGCGACAGGGAACTGGCCAGCAACAACTGTGTGTCCATGACGGCATAGGCATCGTGACAAGCCGATAAGCATGACCACTTATAACATGGCAACAGTAATCAAGTTCTCCGATCAAGGTCAGCGCACCCTAGTCGAAGGTACTGGGTGCAAGTGCAGAACGACATCTACTTTGAATTCACAACGGGTATAGAGAACTTGGTACAGAGTTGGTCCTTGATGTACACAAACTTGTGAGTAAACCACCAATTATGTAGCGCTCAAATTCATTTTTAAACCAACTCAACTAATGATGCATATCAATACAAGTCATACTTGAATGGTGACGCGTTAAATGTCATTGCGGCCGAACAAAACATCGAACCCAAGCAGCAACGTAGTCTGTTTGCCTGCGCCATACCGACGACCCTACTGCATGACTGTAATTAGATAGATATGCCAGCTGGAAGATCTGCAAAACGCTGTTGGCATATAATATGAAGGACCGTGAATCTATTAACAACAGTGAGTGGCCGACTCTTCGTCATTGTGCTATCAGCGTCTCAGTGAGTACATCCACAATAAGGGGCACAAAAAAGCTTGAACGCACCTTAAATTGGTTGACTACCACAGTACATGGTTGACAACGCCGGTCGGCTTAGGGTGTGTACGGACAGTCGTTTGACGTGATGACAACTGAGTGTCGTATAGAGTGGGTGTTTCACTAATCGAGTGTCAAAAAGGTCTGACCCTACGATGATTGTGAAGGAAGAAAAGAAAACAGTGCGAAAGAATGGTGACGAATGTAAAAAGAAAGATAAACGGAGAACAGAGAAGACATGGTAATTCAGGATGTGAACGCTGAGTCATTGTCTCTGATAGATTGCGGCATTTTCATCGAAACCTAGTGCCCATCTTTCGTAACAAGAACAGCAACATATCATCGGTTGTCTATGACACCATGTGTGTGGTACTATATTATTTATGACGTGTGGCAACAATCGATGCCAAGTATTTACGGTACTTGCACTTGATAAACAAACATCGGCCCCTTCAAACGCCACAATAAAGATAGTTATTGTACTGTGCCACCAGTCAAAAACCTGTCGTCCAGTCTTGCATAAACAAACTGACACAGTGCATGATCATAGTGCGACTGCTATTCGAAAACTCATTTTCTAAAAGAAAAGAGAAAGATAGTATATTTAGTTGGGGTCTCCATCTATCTAGCAGTGGGGAAAATCGAGACATAGCCAGTTCAGAATTGACCATAAACAAACCGTGGTCGCGGAGTTGCCACTGCTCTTCGAAACAAGCCTTTGATAACACAAACAAAAGAAAACACCTCCACCATCAACGTTTCAACATAATAAACAAAGAACTTCTTATTCGAATGTAAGCAAAAGCAACACGGTTAGAGTCATAATAGGGATGAAAAATACAGGATGGCTCACCTTGTTTCATCGGTTGATAAACAACTGGTGAAGGAAGCGGTTGTTTGTCAAAGCTCGGATGAAGTCCAAGGGAACTAGGTCGTGTGCCAGATGCGGAAAGGCTTCATATGAGCTTAAATGATCATCGACATGTTGATAATAAGTCCACCGAAGCCTCTGATAATAAATACACCGTAGTACTATCAGTAAACAATCAATGTGAAAGAATGTTCGCACAAGATTATAGTTGGTAACCTGGACAAGAGACACTTGTACAATGAACGGCCATAATTAGATATGCGCCGACGACAATCATCCATAGCTCTACGTCGTTCGTATCACTTAAAGAAACTTGTAGCCGGCGACGACCATTCTGTGATCTTATAAGCTACCATTATTCACAAAGAAAAAGGCGGCTGTTGAAGGTATCAACACCGCTACCTTGTAACAAATTATCTTATCAACAAAGACAAAAAATAAATCTGGAAGTGGTAGGTGGAAAGGAGGCAATGGCGGGTAAAAGCGGATAGTGTTAGGAATGCGATCCAATAAGAAGTGTAGCTTATCCCCAGGAAGACCGGTATCACGCGTTCAAGGGGCAACAGGCGGTGCGTGTATAAAGAAAACCAACACATTCGATTCTCCAAAAGCCTTATCATAGCCATGGACCCATGTGAATATGAGGATGGTCTGTTTGCTTTGCGATACGGTTTTTTATTTTGCCACCAGCAATTTGCAATTATTGTTGGTATAGTCGTGAAGGTAAACCAGCTGTATTGTTTTTGAGAGCACACATGCGAATGCACAGCCTACGGTTTTCTCGACGACTCAAGCACAAAAAGGCTCATTTGCAACTACATAACTGCTCCAGAGAAAGCACCAACAAGTACCAAGCGCAATGGCAGTAGGAAGATGTAAAAAAAAAGATCGCGTTTATTACAATCGTCACTCGATCTGCCCAATAGTTACAATTACATTATTTAAGATAGTACAATAAGAAACCAAGTTTATTTGATGTTGCCTGACAAGTCGACCGACTTTTATGAATCCTTCGTTCCTCAAGGGAGGTTGCCCTCCCTTGTTCCCCGCAAGCCTCAGTTCCCGGCAGAACCTACACCTCTCCCTTTCTTGTCCACAAGCCTCAGTTCCCGACGGAACCTACTCCTCCACAGTTCCTACAAATAAAAGAAATATGATAGCACAAAGGTCTGTCAGCGGCGAACATATACGTACCTCTTTGCACACACTCTCGCTTTCAGTTTTTGAGGAAGATCAAAAACCAAGATGAAACAAAGAACTTTGCAAATGTACAAAAGATGAGCAAGAGCCAGTCGTGCACGACTAGCTCCCTTCAACTATGCACACCCACAGGGACACTCGAGCGGGATGAAAAATAAAAGAAAGGTAAAAAGTGATAATGAAAGAAACACTGCAAATGCACAAAGATGAATATGAAGACTAAAGAAAAGAATAAAGGGCAAAACGCGCAGTCGATTCTTTTTTTTTTATGAGCCCGATAAACAAAATGACGGAGCTTAAAAATTTTGTTGTCACTACTGCCCTAAGGAGCCAGTGAACTGCAGCAATGTGAAGAAGTGCTTTGATGATAATTATCGTTGTAGTCTGACGACTGTCATGCTAGTGTCTTTTTCTTATGGTGCGTATATGTTTGTTTCACTATGCGGCTCCGCTTGCCGTGCTCCGCTCTGATCCAACAATTGTCGGCGACGGGTCTGTGCGCTTTAATGGAACAAAGAACCGGCGATATAAAAAGAGTATGAAACCTGGGGATCATGATGATTTTTTATATGTGAAGCGTACCCAGCAATACTATTGATATTCGATATGACCTTCTTTTCTTCGATGTATGTAGGTGACGATGACGTAATCAGCCGGCGATTACGCCCTCAAGGTAATATGTTGTAGTTTGGGTGACATCTTCAACCATACGGTCGAGGGAGAGTGCATTATAGTTTTTAGTACTATTGATTGCTATTACTCTTAGTCACTGATGGTACTTTCTGATTTTATATACGTAGTTGATAACAGAAAACGGGCGCCATCGATCTCCTCAAGGCAGCATACAATGGTTTGGGTTGGTTTCACGGTAAGTATGCTTCATATTACAAACATACATATTTGATCATAGAAAAAAGACTGCCGCCGAATTCGCTAAGATATTCTTTGCAGTGCTGACACAGAAATATTCCACAGCAGCGCTCTCTATATGTACATACTATACGAATATTTGAGTAAGAAATTAGCCCTATCACTATTCTTAATTAATTGTCAAAGTGGAGCATTCACTACATCAGATAGTAGTGTAGATAACAGACAGCAAAATACTGTAACAAAGGAAACTATCGAAGAACAAGAAGACTGGTAGTTAATTGGAATAACAAGAAACGACCTTTATCGGCAGTTATCCCAGCCCTAGGAACTTTTTACATTATATCCTCGGTTGCACTGTGAATTTGATTGGATTGAACATATTTTGGGGTGGAGCCAAGTGTGAAGCTCGCCTAAAATGTGTGTACACTTTCAAAGCGTTACAAGAACATTTACGTGATTTTTTTTAATAGCAGAGGCAAACGTGTTGCTCGCTAAAGGTACTACAATTGCTGCTTACGGTACATCAAAGCCTATATACAGTCAAGATCTCAATGCTGAAGGAGCCGCCGAAGAGGCATAAACGTTTACTAGCATAAGCTTGCTTCTCATAGACGACCAGGCACCCATAACTAATTTTCGCTCTTCCGTTCCTCCATAATACCTCTTTGTACTGTCAAACTAAATAATCGAGTGTTATCTTTTACATACTATATATTGTAGCATATATGGAATGTATGTTTAATTATTCTTTAGTAGTCACAGCTACATCTTTTGCTATTGATTCTTCTTCCTCCGATACTACGCTAGTGGTAGAATCTTCAGCCGTTTTGTTGTCGTTATTGCTTTTCTTTTTTCGTTCCTCTTCAACTGCCTTGGCCTGCAAGGTAAGCGACTTTTCAATCGCGTCGCAATAATTTTGATACTTTATAATTTCGTGCAGTAGATACTGAGATTTGTTTTCCCAATTTCCCATAGCTCTTGCGCCGGCTGTACTCCGTGTTGAAAACTAGATCAAAAATACAAGATCAATAAGAACGTCTGCTGCAAAAAGGACAGTGCCTATTTCTTTTGATAGCAACTGAGAAGCAAACTTTACACGAAGCTCCATCTTGCGTTTGACGTCCCGATGCTTATCGAGCTCTTCGTTCAATTTCGAAACATGTTTATGCAATATATCGAGTTGTGCTGCCTCTTCCATGGCACTACTGACAGAGGGTGGCACGGAGGGCTGCCATTCGTGAATAGTTACTGCGGGGAACGTGTTTTGTTGCCATGATACCGTTTCTTGCTCGTTTTCTTCGTCCACTGAAATGCAGTCCAAGCAACTGCCCCAGCCATACTCCATATTACTGACACCGCCCATCAATGGCTCCTTGCTTTCGCGTGCTGCCCAATAATTACATGTAGATACCCATTCGACCACTTGGTCCGCCGATCCGACTTGGAACAGGAACACGCCGCCGTTGGGCTGCTGCAGCGCAAACGCATGGGGCCGTTGTCGACTGTAACCAGAAGGCAGTGCGTTTGACAAGGTATGTTTGAGATCAATCTCGCCGATAATCTCTGCATTGGCCTGAAATAACAAGTTGTAGGTTCAGCATACTGGTGACTTCAGTAAAAAATAATCAAAGAAAGAAAGAACCTTACCAGCCAATCACCACCGCCTACTGCTGCAGAAGGGTTATTGGCCAATGCATCAGCCAAATTAACCCGACTGATCATGATGCTGCTTCGTGCCATACTTTTCCGATGTTCTGAGAAACTGCCACCACCACCATTGCTTTCCAGCTTGTACATGCGAATCTCGCCACGATCGACGACCAAGAAGCATTCTTTCCAATCACGATGTTTGGCCTTTTGTCCAGCACGTTCCAACAGGTGCTTGCGGACCAATAGTCCTTCTTTGTAATAAGGTGCTGCGCTCGTATACGACGTCGGGAGTTCAGAGTGATGCAACAGGGGCGCAACGGCTTGGTATGTCGTGATGGAATTGGACTGTGTCAGGTGCGAGCTTTGTGAAAAGCTGGATTTCAATGAAGTCATGGATCGGCGTCGCGGGAATGATGTGCTATGCACAGAGGTGGTGGAACGTGGACTCGTAGGAGTTGTAGCATTCGTGCCGTAAAAGCGATCCAACTTTGATAGTAAGCAGCATATGGCAATTAGTATATGATGATGACACCATGTGACGCAGTGCTTATAGCTATGAGCCTACCTCTGCATGCTCACTGACAACCATGCTCTCACGAGCAGTCTTCCACATGATTGTACCGACACTTCGCTTGAACGCACCCACTCGGCTGCCAGTAATTTGCAGGCTCCGTCGTCGGGAATGGCGTGCACTCGTTTCGTCACGGCCCGTATCATCCTTGGAAGAAGGATGGCGGATCTGTCGATTGCGGATAGACACGTACATTTCCTATTTCATTTCCAGAGAGCAATAATTTTAACTCCTTTTTCTTTATACAAGAATGAACGATGAAAACACACGGCTTCATTAACTGAAGCAACAAAATGAAACAGCGTTTTACCCTGAGAATGGCCTCTACTTCCGACTGCCACCCCTTACTGCCGATTGGATGATTACCATGGACCATGGCGGCAGGAGTCATATCTAACGAAGATGCTGCCGTACTGTAAAACCTGCCCAGACTGCTACTACTTGCCGAGCTTTTGCAACTATTTGTCCGCTTCAAATCATAGGACTGAGAGCGCGAGTCGAGGGAATGGAAAGTGACATTGCTCGTCCGATGTTCTTCACGCAGGGGTATATTATCGTCGTCGCTGACGATGGTGCGTTCGTACTGGGCACGCGCGGCATTCATTGTGTTACGCACAAACGCCGATCGTGACATCTTTTTGTGATCTCCCTGAGCAACGTGCAGATCAGTGTTCAGGAGTAGTAACGAATAGACAACAGCGTGAACGACATCTATGATGTGGAAAAAAAAAGACTGCATTTAAGCAAACATGTCCCAAACCTGTGATCCAGTTTCAAACAAGACCTAGTGTATGTGCGTTTATTACCTGAATTTCCAAAAACACACGAAGGGTTGCAATCCCAGTAACGATTGGCAAACTCGACAAGGATACGGTCAATCTGTTGTGACTCGGCTTTCATGTGCAGTTTTCCGCATAGTTTTCTGGGTGGTAGTAGTGGTATAGTAGTAGTAGTGATGATGTGTTATTAATATAAAAATTTAGGGAGGGCAAGTGCACAAGAGAGAGAGAGAGAGAGAGAGAGAGAGAGAGAGAGAGAGGGAAATGAGTGACCACACGTGATGTTTTGCATAGTGAGAGTTGCTAGGGTGTGAAACTTACCTAAATGCGTCGTCCAATCTCATGTTGGTGAAATCAAAGTACAGAAAGTAGTGCTGCAAAATGTTCACGCTCAATGGTTTCCTGATTGTGCCAATAAAGAATTCATCAGTATGGGTTGTTACCATTGTTTCATGTAAATTCTTACCCGTTGCCAATCCATTCTGCGATATGCTCCATGTCAGCATAAACAGTGGAATCCTCTTCCCAGATTCTTTTGGCAGTTTCTGCCGCTAATCGATTAGACTCTTCTTGGTCGTCGTCGTCGTCGTCGTCATCTTCTTCTTTTCCATTTTTGCTATTCCGGTGTTGGGGTTTGTCGTATGGGTCAACAGGAGAAATGCTGTCACGTCGTCGATGAGCAATAAGATGTTCATCATCCGGGGGTGTTACAATGGTCTCTGATTCGCTCGTTTCGGTATGCACGGTGCTTGCGACATTGGGAAGATGCTGCGAGGACCCGGACTCGCTCGGAGGTGCAGTAGGTACTGACATGTTATTGATACTACAAGTATTATAGCTGCTGCCGACATGGTTGTTGTTGTTGTTGTTGTTGTTGGGTGGCATGATGTCCGATGAGGATGGAACTGCTACTGTATGATTTTCTTCTTCGTCATTGTCCTCCTCCTCTTCTTCAAACTCATCATCCGTTTGATGTCGAGTTGACACCGGTAGTGTGCTCAGGATCAATCCTCCTGCAGACCCAAAGTGACCCCCACTCAACCGTTTGGAAAGCCGATCTCCTGCAATCTGGCTTTCTTGAGCTGCACATTGGTCAATGAGGGTGTTGTCTTCCGTATCCGTAAGCATATCCCGTGTGCCATCGTAATCTTCATCGTCGGTTGTAGTTGCTGCTGTATTCGTTCGATGATGATGGCGGCGACGACGTTGGCAACGATGGTGGTATGAGGAGCTGTTGCTACGCGACATTTTCAGTGGCTTTTTGCGCTGGATAGTAGTCTGAGACGCTTCTTCGTCTATACCTGATGGCGGTGTGGTTGCTATAGACGCTGTTGTTGTTGTTGCTCCTGTAATAGTGTTATTACTATTATTAACACTATCGTCGTCGCGCCTGCGCTGGATGTCATCGAGTGACAAGGATCGCCGTAATGTGGGTCGCTGTTGTTGTTTCGACTCTAAGCAGTTGAGTGTGGAATATTTGCGTGGGAGTTGTCGATGAGCCACTGGGGATTCATGTTTGTTGTTTTTCAATGCAATATCTTTGGACGATTCTTCCAATATGCCGGGTATAGCTAAATTGATCAAATCAGTCCGGGATAAGCCCTTTCTCTCATCTCATTACTACCGAGTTACATACTGTCAATGGATCTGGATCGTCTCGGAAATGGTGGTGTGGCAGTAACGGGATCGATGGTGACGGAAGCAAGATGCTGCTGCTGGTATAATTGATTGTCTATGCCGTAGGCAGCTGTTGTTGAAGTGGTAGTGGCAGATGACTGTTGCTGTTCCAAGGACTGGTTCTAAATTGGTGTAGTAAAAGAATGGATTAGAAAACTGCGTTAAGTAGCAACCGTACTAATACTACCTTGCCCAGTGCGCGGAAAAACCGGCCGATACTTTTAATAGTTGTCCTCTTTTCGAATTTCATTTTTGGTTTGGTTTGCAGGGAAATTAGGGAGTCGTGTCAGTATAGATATCGTTAGATTGTCAGATTCAATTAGCATTTGTTGGCTCACCTTTTTATTGTTACTGCTGCTACTATTGATGGTGTGGTGGTTCTTTGATGCTGACGGTGTTGCATTGGAGCTGCTGCTGTTGGTTGTGGGCGTCATGGCAAACAAGGGTGCTTCTATCACTGCTGGCAGTGGCTTTTCTTGGTCGTATCGAGCCAAAGACGGATGCGGTGTGGAGCATACTGTCTGATCGGGCTGCACCATCTCCAACGGAAGCGGCGGGCGCCGTTTTTGCTTATTGTTTCCGCTCAGTGACTCAGAGGGTGGTACAGCGTTGTTGACAGTGTTGGACGGTGCGAGCGTCATGACAGAAGACGACGCCGACATATATTCTGACGCTGGTGCCGTGTTTGTTGCTGTTGCTGCTGCTGCTGCTCGCTGCATCTTTAGTTTGGATAAGAACCGTGATTTAGGTTTGCCCTGGGGATGTTGCTGTTGAAGTCTCGAGACGTCGCCGTTGTTGTCGACGCCGGCAGCATTGTTCATATAATAGTACAGTTCTTGGACACCCCAAGACCCCGAACGAGGTCGGTTCGCTTTCGTGGTTTCTGATCCTGTTGCTGTTGCTACCCTTCTTCGACCGTCACCACGCGACGACGGGTGCTGGTTCTGTTGTTGTTGCTGGTGCTGTGAGTTTGATATCCGTCTGTTCCGTTTCTGGTCACGCGTAGTGTAATTGGGGTCATTCATTGATTGTGAACGAAGAGGTTGGATCGCACAAAGCCAAGCAGAGAAAGTAAAAAGAAAGAAAAGAAAGGAAGGGGCCCAGAAAAAGAGAGAGAGAGAGAGAGAGAGAAGGTTACACTTGGCGACGACAACGACAACAACAACAACAAGAAAAACAAAAATTAAATAAAAAAAGAAAAAAGGAGGCCACCCTCCATTCAAAGGAAGAGAGACACACACTTGTCCTGGGCCTCGCTCGGTGTTTGTGTCGTCCTGCACGATTTGTTATACCGATAATGAGGTTCTTCTTCAGATGAGAATCTTGGGCTTCTCCTTATTCGTACTCCCACCCGGCCTGCTGTTACTTATGCTGCTGCTGCTGCTGCTGCTGCTGTTTGATGCAATGGGCACATACCATACATTACTGCTATTAGTAGGGTAGCTTGTCTGTTCTGGACTGTGTACCATTCAAACTCTCTCCCCCCGCCCCTCTCCTCCTCCCTTTCTCCATCTCACACATACAATCCACCTCCGCTCCCCCAGTTCTCGCACCCCTTATTTTATTTATTTCTTTATAAAACAATGAAACGGAAATGTCGTTGTATCAAATATCCAAAAGTTCCTCTTGGCTGATTAAATCAATAATGAGAATGAGAATTCAATTTGTTTACAAGGCCCAGCCTCTGGTTGTTGCCTGATAAAGAAAAAAAGATATTACTGAAATATTTTACGTTGAGAGAAATTACTGTATAAGAGAGAGAAACAAGGGGAGAATGTACATATCAAAGACCAGAATCATGCGAGGTCTTTGATAATAATAATAATGATAAAAAAAGGCGAAAGCAAACATCTATAGTAGTCGAAAAGAACAAGAGGAGGAATAGTAATGGTAATAGCACGAGCGTGGTGTAACGTGTATATAGGGCGTAAATAGTGTGTGTGTGTTGCGTAAGCAAGTGTGCTGCCGAACAAGCAAGGGTGGAGTAAGGGTATGCGTATAGAATTAGTAGTATGACGGTGAACAAACAAGAGAATGGGCGGGGGGGGGGACTATTGTGCTGGCTGCTCTTGTTCTGGCTCGATCTTTGCATCTATCGATGCGAGCCATTGCTCGTCCAAATACCAGTACCCGTACTCTTGCAGCCTTTTCTTCTTGTCATCTCCCACCTGTGTCAAAAAGGAGCCCGCATCATCAGCATCATCGTTACCAGTCCTAGTTTACAGGTGCAATACAGACGAAAAAATTTGTACATACCAGGTAATTTGCATGGACCATATAAGGCTCCACCCCATGCTGCTGTGGCCACTGGTTTTCAAAGAACACATAGCCGTTGGGGAAATGCAGGACATCCAGCAGCACCACATTCGTCGACCGCAGGTTCATATCCACATGATCCAGTGCAGCATTCATTGCGCCCTGCTGCGTATAGTCCTTGTTTGTGTCGCCGAGGTAGATCGTTTCAGCAAGCAGCCGCTTTGTCACATCCGACGGCCGCATCATGTAAAATCCACTGTTCACCACCCGCTGATCCGATCCTTCCTGCTGATACGCGACATGCGTTTGGCCGCGCATCTGGAAAAACGTGTGGATGAACTCGCGCATCCGAGGACGCAACCACACAATATCGACGTCCGAGAACAGCACCGTCACGTCCAGATAGAGCAATTGCTGGACAATAAGCGTCTTGGCATGCGTAATGATTCTATACTTCTTGCTATAATACTCTTCAAAACCAGCTTCCACTTGGTCATGGAACCAATTGTCTGGGATCGTTGCTGCGTTCTTCTCATAGCCGGCTGCTACCATATGCTCGTACATTTGGTCGTCCAGGCAAAACATGATAAACTTGTCGCCCTCGTTCGTCCGTTTCAATGATTCGATCCAGTTGTACACATGGTCACGCATGCCATAGTTGGACGCCGCCACGATCAACACTCGTTCGTCGTGAAGATTCGCATTGATTTTGTCGACGAGCTCTTGCTGCGGTTTGTTGAACGACTCGGGAACAACCACTGGTATTGACTCGCCGTTTTCGAGCGCTGGTGGTTCTGGTGCTGGTGTATTATTCTCGGATGTTTGCATTCCACCGGTGGTATTTTCGGGTGAAGCATTGACGCATGAACAGTACCAAGAGTACCAAGGATCCAATGTTCCATCGCCACGATCTTGTGCCAATGCTGATGCTGTGTTGCTGTTACTGCTCTGATTACTGGACGTGCCATCAGACGATGTGATGATATAATTCACACACGCTACTATGAAGGACATTAAGACAACACCGACAACGAGCATCCCTCGCCGGGAAGAATGGTCGAAGAATGACATGGTGAATAGCTGAACGATTAGTAAGAGCGCACGGAAGAGGAGGAGGAGAAAGAGTGGGAAAAAGGAAGGGGAAGTGTATGGGGGAGGGGTAAAGAAAAAAGGCAAGGTGCACACACTGGGAAAAGTCTATTTTTTTCCCCTTTCCAAATTGATCGGCTCAGTTGTGAAACTCAGCAAAAAGACCTCATCGACGGTTGATGTTTCCTATTTGCCGTTCCAATGTGTCACTAAGTTTTAGTGTAGTTTTTTTTTTACAAAAAATGAAAAGAAAACCGAATAGATCCAGTAAACATATAAAGCAAGTGAACTATGACTTTTCACATAGTATAGGTAAACAGTTTCCTGGAGCTGGACCTTCCCATTGCTTTCTGGCTTATAATCGAATCCATGTTTCACAAAAAAAAAAGAAAAAGCGCGAGAGGTCCTTCTACTCTTGCTCAAGTTCGAATAAAGGAGGTACATAGCATTGGCGCTGCCAATATACAATCGTCAGTCTAGGCATAAACCAAGTTTTGAAGCTTAATTTCTAAAAGTCTCCGGGATGCAAAAAGTGTAAGAATTGAACAATAGAAGAGTGAACGGTCTGGTGTCCACTATACCTGGAGTCTCTGTATTGGATAGATATAGCGGAAGAGATTATTTCTTCCATATATCATAGCAGTGGCTATAAATACAACTTGATAATTATTAATAGTAATATGGGGTGTCGTTGTTATTGTTGTTGCTAAGCCAGATAAGGTCCCGAGATCAAATGTTTCTTTGCCACATTCTGCAAGGTCATCTTGTTGTTATAACACTTGAAGTATTGATGAGACCGCTGCTTTCTTCACTTGGACCATCTACAGCATTTGCATTTCAAGCGTCGTTTAAAGTATAGCTACAAGTGTCACGCTAATTTATTTTTGTTATCACAAAGAGGGAAGTTATTGTCTAAAATGGTATCGACTGATTCGGCTAAACTCAATTGTATTTGGCGTGCTAGCCGACTATATTACATGGACTAAAGCTTTATTAGCAACCTGTACACAACAACAAAAGAGTTATTATGGTATGCTGTGAAAACAAATTAGACAAAGACTTCTATGACCTAGTGTAAATAATATCCATGCGTAGCAAGCTTCGGAGAAGATGAACCCCGTCTGTGCAGTGCAAAGCAGCGATCACGGCAGGATAACCGTCGATCTTGCACCACAATGCATCTGAGATATACAGTATGCATGTTAAAGAAAGAGGCTGCATTTACAAAAAGCAGCCTATATATAGGTTGCATCATTAATTTATCAAAGATGACAGCAAACAAGCACATACACATCAGAATGGTTGAAATAATACACTGCTCTCTCTCTCTCTCTCTCTCTATATATATATATATATATATATATATATATATTATATTGTCATACTACGTTCTGTCAGTGCAAATATACAGTTGATTTTTTGCTTCAACCGACATACAAAGCTCCCAGAGCTGATAAAATTTGGCTTCCACTCTATACTTAAAGCAAAATAGTTCCATGTAGTATAAAAAGCTTACCACTCTTACTTTTTCTTATTTCTGACGTAAAAGCTAGAAAGGCATGTATGAGGCAACAGTGACAGCCAATGTATCACACATATCAGTAAATTAGCTCATTAAACAACATCTGATGATGTATTATCTAGATCAACGCCATCAATGCAGTTCTTTCGTTAAACTATCGCACAAGAAACGTTCACAATAATCAAACTTTAATGACACACTACTCTGATTCAAGGTATTAATACAGTACTGACACTCTTATATAATACATAGAGATTAGTCACACGTACAACTTGGTATGTATGTATCATACAGTAAATCAAATAAATACATTAAAATTCATTCTATGGGATCAACTCGATTCATCACCTTTTACAATCCCATTTCCATTCATTATCATGATACAGGATACCTTCACAGATGCTCTCGTATTGTGCGACAAATTCGTCAAACGAATTAATCTAAAGTATACAACAACGAGATGCTATTTTCGAGCTAGCGTTCGCACTTTACGTTATTCACTTCATGAGCGGCAAACTCTTCATCATCGCTAATGCTACTGTATTTTGTACCAGTATTACAATATTTGAGCTTGTTTATGCCGCATTTGTTGTTTGAGCTCATTGCAAGATATATACCTCTCTATATGTCCATTGAGCTCTTTCTTGCCTCATTACAAACTCGAAGATAAAAAAGGCAGTCTGAGAGCAATATTACTGATTCATTCATGTTTCTTATTTTACCTCGACGCAGGTCCCACCTACTATTATCTAGAGCTCCTAACACAAATAGTTACACAAACTAATGATATGAGAAGCGAAGACAATCTACTTATTTACCATTACCGTAACCACGAGTTTCACTCTTTTTTCCATAGTAATCATAATGATGCCGATCTCAGGACAGCAGCAGATATTTGATATTATAAAACTGGGTTGAGTAAAGTCATAGCCACTAAAATAGCTGTCATTCATACGCTGTTACAAATAGTAGTTTAATTCCATACTGAGTAGTCGAAAATTATAAAGATACTTATATAAAAAGGAGAAAATGAGTTATCAGACCGATCAACGTATTATACGCGGTGTAGGTATACTACTTGTCATACTTGGCCAGTACTCTCGATTGTGTTTCTTTGCCGTGGTGATGATTGTATGGCAGCACTGTCTTTTAACGAGCGTTTGTCAATTGAGAACGTAATATGTACATCATAAACACACGACAAATTTGTCGGCGAACCTTCAACTGCAAAAGCAAGCATCCCAGTGAGCGTGCACACTATAATTTCTAAAGGCTATTTACATAGAAAGTATTGGTACAGTAGGTGCATATAATATGAGAATAGCATAATGAATTCATAAAGATACAGTACGTACCAAAAACTTATTATTGACTACTCTTGAGTAAATCAAATTAGCTCGTTTTACTTTAAAAGCTTTTTATTTTTTGAGGGCCAATGTCGGTAAGCTTCTAGCATTCTTGTCGCTCCCTTGCGGTGCGGCGATTAGGAAAGAAAGTGCATAAGAAAAGAGGTGGTGCTTCAACTGAGAAAATACCCTTGTAGGGAGGGAACAAGTTAGGCCAGATTAAGATGTTGGGGGAGGAGAGGTTACAGATAAAAAATAGATAAGGAAGAGAAAAGTGAAGATGTGAGAGGTAATAAAAAGAAGAGTTGTTTATAGGTGCTATGAGTGTAGTGAACAATCGAGATGCTGATGATAAAAGTTGGTCCGGACTAGTGCTTCTTCGTGTGTTGATTCATTCGTGTCGTAGCCAGTGTCTGATTGGCTCAAGTCACGCAGCACGCGAAGTAATGCCGGCCAGGTCGTTATCCATTTGCCGCAAGACAATCCCATATCCGAAATCGATAGTTTACTCATAAGTCGTCGATGGTAACTAGCTTGTCGTTGTGATTTGCTGGTGTATACAATTGCTTGAGGAATGGTTTGAGAGATGATCAGCTGGCGTACTGCTCCCGTTTCGCACGTGGCGCTCCGCAACGACGAGTCTTACGTGGACAGTATGATAACCAATGCATTCTCCATTTGATGGGGCGACGACGGTCTCTGGGAAAAATCGGCCAGAACTAGCTCATTTTATACATATACTAGCTAGGGGCTGATGATCTTTATACAAGATGCCTATATACAAGTATTAAATATTATTTTGAGTGTAAGATTGACAACGTAGCTACAGTATTGCTTATGGTCGCTCAAATAATCGGCTTTTTTTTAATATGATATCTTTACCTTTGCCATCGTTGAGTAGACATCGTATGTAGCTATCAAACACAATAGCTCAGAACCCAGCCATACACGGGCAGATGACAGTGCCTTTTCAAAAAAGAAGGCTACTTTTGAATATACGGGGCAGATTTTGCAGTAATGGATGAAATGGCAAGTACGTATATAGAAGCAATTGATAAGATTAAGAGTAGACTACTGTGTGCTCTACTACTGTTATACATATACTTGCATCGAATTAAACGTCCCAGCCGTATATAAACTTTAACAAAGAGGACCAAACCAATTAAACTATGTGAAGCACGGAAAACGTTTACTTGGATGATCCAACTCAGGTAAAAAAACAACGAGCCTATCAAAAAGCAGTGGGGCCACACACCAGCTATCATAACGCTGGTCTCAAAGAGTGTCCAAGTTGATATAGCGACTTCTACACAAGTTCTGATACGCCCTTAATCAGTTATGATAATACATATTTTATCCACCGGCCCGATCAATGTATATCGCCATTTTGACAGCTAGAATAGAAAAGAGCTATAAATATTGTTGGAATAGAATATCATCTCACTTATTATCTGACTCCTATCATCTCTACTGTAATCAAAGTTTTTTTGGAAAGGCTCGGAACTGATCTTTCTTGAAAGAAGTGGTAATTCTATAAAAAGCAGTTGTCTTTGGTGCCGTGCAGCCAATAACGTCAATAACGACGATTTTTATCCAAACCTAAAGCACGAACAAGTGGGTATCTGTATCAAAGCTATTGATTCTGGACGCATTCATGCATGGTAAGTCTTGCGAACAGTTCTCCGGCAAAAGGATTTGAGTAGTGAAAGCAGCATGGCAAGTCAAAAGGCTATTGTGACAGACCCTCGGCCTGACACAAAGTCAATCAGATGTTGTGTTACTTCCTCGGCGTGTGTGCGGGTGATGTATGATATAAAAAAAGAAACAGGATGGTCGGCTTACCCTCCGAACAATTTTTTTATTTGGCGAGCAGAACTACGCGAGCACAGAAACAAAAAAAAAAGAAGACGAAAAGGAGTGTCAAAGTGTGATAAAGCGCGTTGTGATCGTGTTACTGTCGTCTGTCATTGTTCCCCGCTTTGTTTAGCACGGAGCTGTGGGTGGGCAAAAAACTAAGGAACTTGTCAAGCACATGAAAAAAAGGCAAAGCAAAAAATAAATAAAAAGCGGCAAAACTTTTATGAGAAGAGTGCGAAAAGAAAAAGATTGTTTTATTTTGTTTATCATTTTGTTTATTTGTGTTTAATAAAAAATAAAAAGTTCGTTTTAATTATCCCACCACATACCCGAAGGTACGTGTCCACATTCCCACTAGTACATTGCAAAAGATTTCCTATGACCGGACCACTGAATCCGGCCAATCCTCAGAATCCTCTTGACAATCGCCAGCACAAGCAATGACCCGATCATGGCACCAAACAGTGAATCTGTACTACAGATCAAAGCTGTACCAAAACGAACTGAAGAGAAGAGAAAAAAGAAAGGCGAAATTGCTCGCTTTATATAGACGTTTTTTGACTGTCACGCTCGGGACTTCAAAAAGTTCCACCAAGTTCCATGGATTTTCATTGGCTCTTGCGTAATAGTATGACTTTTAGCATATGGCTCAAAGGGACTATCACAAAAGGAAAGGAAAGGGGGTGTGCTTGGTGGTCATCTAAACAAATGTGTTGCGGCGGTAGTGGTACGTGTCTCTCACCATGGGCAGCTGTACCTCCGACGATGTCGCCGTTTGGTTGTGAGAGGTCCGTGCACGGCACCGTGTCAAGCGAAAACAAAGACACGAATGCGAATGAGCAAGTCGATTCACGGAAGAATAGCTTTTCTGTGAGCTGGTATACAGCATACAATCAGCGTGCGCTGCTAGACTGAAAAGTATTCAAGTGACAAAATAGCAGTGTCCTTGCATATTTGGGATTTATGGACGACCATAGATGAACAGCAGCCTATGCTGACAGCATACACTGTGTAGCACAATCCTATCCATTATCCTTCCTGTACCATGATATCTCGAATGGTTCCAGACTATGATATGTATATAAGCAACGGAAGCATCTTATTCAAATTGTTTGGTGATGTGACGATCTTATTGTGATGCTGGTAGTACGTGCTTTTTTTTTCCTTTGGCATCAATTTTCCCAAATGCAACATTAGTATATATCCAGAACATGATCCTCCCAATACCCGCTTCCATTTTCATTCCTTCATCCAACAAGTCAAACAAGTCAAACAACTTGTGTGTAGAGCATATTCGTGCTTGTATTCTGCAGACCACTATCTTATTATTATCTCATCTTTCGACTCCATGTGTGGTGCATAATGTCGTGCGTGTGCGGGCATAGATGCAACACGCTCGACCCCATAATTGCACTATATAAAGGAGACCCGTTACCTTTCTCAATCAGCCGTGCTCCTCAACTGTTGTCACCCGCCAACGGTTCTCTCAAAAGATGCGTGTGCAGTGGATGGATCGGTCGTTTGCAATTGACTGGCTTGCAGAAAAGCCTTTGTCTCCAGTTTCCCTTATCAATCTGATCAATACTCATTCGAGTTGAGCATTGAGTAAACCCTTCCTCTTGGAATCCACCGTTTTAACCTGAGCTGTTGTTCTTGTTACATCGATAGTAATAGCTGCTTTAAAAGTAATCGAAAGGAAAGCAATATGAAGAAATAAGCGCTCGACAGATTTTCCCACTGAAAAGCTCCTCTCTTGCCCAGCACAGTAGCTGGCTAACCTTACCATCACAAACCAGCTCATCCCTAGTATGTGCTACTTTTGGTAAATTATAATCCTCCATCCCGAGTGTATGCTGCCGCTGGTAAAGTACCATATTCCATCGCGAGTATGTGCTGTTGCTGCTGCTGCTGAGTTTGCCCGCTCATAATACGTATACACTGCCGCTAGTAAAGTTGACTCGTCTTTCATTGCATTTCATTCCGGTTTATAAAGTAGCCTAATCGACTGTTTTGTGCGATAATTCGTTCTTTTTGATCGGCCTTTGTGCAATTTGAGTACGAAGTAAATTGGCCAATTCGTTGCGTCACAATGCTTCCGTTCTGTATAGTTTTCGTTTCGGGGGAAAGCTGTTGCAACGTTCAAGGCTTGACACACGCATCACCTCGCCACTGTTTAAAGAAGAAAGATTTGTGTTGCGTTCTTCCTGAATTCCTCATTCCTAGACTAACTCTGCTTCCTTGCTGATTCGCGTCGGTTACGCTTGTCATTAGTGTGGGTTTGTGCGTACGTGCTCGAAGCCTTCGTTATGTACGAAAATGAAAGGGAGACGTAGCAAATTCACCCCTTCATGCTGTTGCAGGAAAATTCACATTGAGTCGCCGCTAGTGTCTCTGACCTGATCAAGTAAACTTAGTAATGATCTTGTCTTCTGATTCTCATATTCCCCTCTTTTACATGTATTTGAATGTTCTAAACAAAAAAAAACGCCTCGTCCAAATAACTAATACACTTATATTATTATACATCTTCAAGTCTTCGTGGCTTTAATTCATTACTCATTTTAGATTTGCATACTGTACAAGCGATAATGATTTATGCTTCTATTGATTTTATGCAATTTATCGTCCACATATACCTTAAGCTTTAAAATGGCATTTGGTTCAAAAAAAAAAAAAAACTCGACGTTTGCGGATCTATTTGGGGGGATCTTCAATCAGTAGCTCTATTTGGGGCTTACAGAAAAGAACTGGCACACGATAAAAGATCAAAGATGGTTTTCTTCACGCTATAATGCCAGTTTGAAGAAGCATTAGTTATGTCTGGATAACGTTTTCGGGCTATGATGATATTTATGCAGAGCATGTATCAATTATATTATTCAACTATACAACTATAGGATTGAGTTGCTTTGTAGTATACGATGTATGTTAATAGGTATATACAGGAATGTGATAACGAACGCGTGTGCGTGTTGGGGAAGGGGAGGAGGAGGGGGAGAAAGGTTTGCAATTCACGCGCCTGCAATTGCAATGCCTGCCTTGGCTCCCCCACTCAGGATCCTGCAAAAACGAGGCTTAGTATATGCAAACATGCTTCCTAAATGCCATACTGCATTCGCACATTGTCATAAAGTATATCCCACAGTAACCCTCCTTTGGCTCAGCAAATTAAAAATTTACTTACGCAATAGCTAATCTAGCCGTAACTTGTATTTTCTCCTCAACATCAGCTATCTGAACGAGAGGCTGTTGACAGAATCCACCACTATACGCTTCTGCCGCCAGGCGAGAGCTCCATCCCGTGGCAAGTGTAACATAAGCACTGAAAGACCACCGGCTGTTGGATAGTCTTTCTGACCATTGTAACTTTCCAGTTCTGGCCTCAAGGCAGTAAAGCATTGTGTTGCATGCGATAAAAAGGTTCCAGCTATTGCCTTGTCCTCGTCCATCTAACAATATGGTCGGAAACCCGAGTCTTCCCTTTGGGCAGTTGAAGCACCACAGTTGGTCTCCCGTATCAATGTCAAATCCATAACATCGGCCCCAGCTTGTTGCACAAACAACTCGATTTGTTTTTTCATGATCGTTGTCGTCATCTTTTGTACCATGGATCTGCTTCTTGTTTTCCGTTTCTCCACTATAGTCAATATGTATGCTGCTATTATAGCCATTCGACGCGCTTTCCGCGTATGAAGATGGTCTGAGCCGTGATGATGAGGACGCGTGTGAAAAATAACCAGCGTCATCTTGTTTGTGTTGATTGTGTTGCTGATTTTCAGCTGCTGACAATAATTCTACTTGGGATAGTTGATCAGCCCCTAACGAAAGCAACGGATCGCGTGACGGTGTGCTCAGGATCGACACTTCATTGCAAATCCAACGTCTCTGTACATACATACAAAACCAAATCACGATAGCACAACAGTTAAAAAAAATTAAGGCTGGATCAAGAATACATTAGTGGAGACTTATTAAACAAACCTTCATTTTTTGCGTCCAAACATGTTTTCCTGTTCTCAGCTCGATACACGCAGTTTTTCCTTTTGCGCCTAATAGAACCTTATAATCTTCGGTCACGTAGATCGAAATGATTCCTCCACTTGATCCAATAGGTGACTTGATTCGCCATAGCCGACATCCGTCTTCCTTGTGAACCGCGTATATTTTCTCGCCCCGTGCGCATACGATTATGTCGCTTGATTTGATCGATGGCTCCAAGGAAATCTCTTCTTCTTCGGGATCAACCTTCTTTTTTCTCTTGTTGCCTATCGCGAAAATGCATCGAAAGATAGAAGCAGGCTGTAGCTGCTGACTTGCCGTATAAGCTCTTTGAGTGACCATTGTTCGTTATATCATAAAAAGAGATATGTATGGTTTTGGATCAGTGTTTGGTATTGTACACGATGCTACAAGTAATAAATATAAAGTCGGTGAAGAAGAAAAAGGAGAAAACAAAAGAGATGCTGAGCACCTTTTTGAGGATAGAAAGTAAAAAAAAAGCCTTAATGAGGGGGACCAAGTGTCACGTATCCACAATAAACAAATGGCTCCGCAGAAGTATGCATAATAGCGCACGTGATCAAGTGGTCGTCACACACATACATCTTGTTGGCAAAGCACACGTACTACTGGGTTTATCACTCTGAGCGAAAACTGGGCGATGAGAAAATTCAAAACTCATATTACGGTATGTGGATCATGGCATCGTCATATTGTGCCACTTGCTATCTATTTGAAGAGCCATCTTTTTGATTTCCTGGTACAGAGACAACGTGAAACACTAGATTTGGTTTTTGTGGCTGTTCGACCGGATATTCCTATTCAGGAATAGTTGGAAGGAAACCACTGTTTCTTATCTACAAAAAAACTGGTATTCCTTTGTCTACAGTTGCTGTGACGATCATCCTTCTTTTACTTTCTGTCGGTATTTAAATCGATCTACCTGCTGTTGACACTGAAGCTCACCCAAATGAAAGTTATACTAGAGTGTACTCACGGAACTCATATCGGTATAGTCTACAAGAAGCGCCAAAGATATATGCTTTGATAACATATTGCGGGCAAGCCATGTTATTCGGGAAAGGCGGCGCTCTAAGCAGGAAAATTAAGGGTTTATGCTCAAGGCTATATTGACAAAAAAAATTTATCCGCTAAAAGCATCACTTACGACGCTTGAATAGCGGTTGCTTATAGTTGCTAATATTTCGGCAGCCCTAATATGTGAAGAGATCTTGACTTGAGTAGCAACAAGCAGGCGATTTGATCGTATATATAGGATTGAATTCAGTTTTTAAAAGGTGCTCGAATCCTTCATGATTTAGGGTACCCGCATTTCTATATCTCTCTGGTAAGCCCATCATTTTGTACTGCTTGCTTGAATAGGCCCCTCGGAGTTCAGTACCAGTCAAATAGCCGAGTGGTTGCAGGTTATCACTTTACATAAATGTAAACAGTAGCTAAAATATATACTGGCATGCGTCAACGTACGATATACCAATTATGATCCGCTGAGTAAGAACCCCTACTTATACGTATTTATATGTGTAGGGTAAATAACATGTATATCTTCTACACGTTGTTTCAATTATTTTCGTTGTTAATGAAGGCATCATTGGGTCGATATAGGATCGAATTGATAATACACGCGAATGGAAGCATTTGTTGTCCATTTTTCTCTTTCAGACTTAAAAAAAGTGTCTTTCGAAACGATCACCCGATGTGATGTACAACGTGTTGCCTTTTGGAGGATGATGAATGTTTGTCGTAGAGATGTAAAAGTATATGTGATAGTAAACATAAAAGGAACGTATTCTTTTTTCGTGTGTGTACGAGATATATATGGTATGGAAATTTTTGGTAGACATTTGACACGCAAATTACGTATATATTTTTAAGCATGAATATATATTGTGTCTTGTTTTTTATCCTACTCGTTGCATAGCAGCTGCACGACGAGCCGCACGAATCAAGGGCGCAAGAGAAGGAAGAGGATCAGCACATTCAAGGAAAGGATGTGTTGCCATCTCTGCGGCAGATGGACGGAACTCTACTTCAACGGCAAGGCACTTGTCAAGGAAATCTCTAAAGACCGGTTCAATAAACTCGGGTTCTTGAAGAGCGGGTGTACCGTTGTTGGCAATTAGGTACAGCGCACGCAATGGATTTTCGTTCAAGTACGGTGGCTCGCCTTCAATCATTTCGATCGTCAAAATACCCAAGCTCCATACGTCAACCTTTGGACCGTATTCCTTTCTTGTTACCACCTCAGGTGCCATCTGATTTAAAAAGACATACAATCGAATAAGTTCTCTGAAAACAACACTTTTCTATCTCCATCGTTATACTATATTTGATGTAGAAAGGTATCTACATACCCAATACGGTGTGCCCACCATGGTAGTGCGTTTTGCTTGTGTGTCATTTAATTGCGCACAAAAGCCGAAATCGGCTAATACAAAAATAAAGTGGTTGCGTGAGTGAGCGAGAACCAAGTTACCTAATACTATCATGACACCGCTACTTACTCAGCTTGATATCACCGTTCATGCTTAATAACACATTGTCGCTCTTGATATCGCGATGGATGACTCCATTTTCATGCAAATGACATAAGCCCGCTATTACCTCTTTACATACGGCAGCAATCTGGCCCTCGACCATCATGTTGTGCGTCACGACATCCGTAAGACTACCGCCTTCCATGTACTCCATAATAACCCAAAGGTCACCGCGCCAGAGATACGAGTCGATAAAGTTAACAATGTTCTTATGCCGTGATTCCTTCATGACCAAAATCTCGTTGATGATCAGTTCCTTCTTTGGCTGTTGTTCCAAGTTCATTTGCTTGATGGCAACAGGAAGGTCTCGACCTTCTGCATGTGCAGTGTAGACACCTCCGGAAGCACTAAAGAAACAGATTACTTGTGTTAAGAGAAACTTTTATGGGCCACTCTATAAGGAAATCAGCCCTTTTTCTTGTTCATACATACCCTTGACCAATCTTTGTCATATGGCGATAGATCTTGCTCGGATTATCCTCTATGCAGATAGTGCGGAGTTTGGCGACGACTTCAGCATCCTTCATTGCATTGTTCTTGCGTTCTTTCGGCCGTTGTCGCACAGTGCCTGGCGATCCGATAAGCGGGCTGTGAAGGGGAGGCGGGGATTGCTGCTGTTGCTCATTGTCAGGACGACGTTGCTTGGTACTGAGTTTACGCTTGATATCATAATCACGAGCAGGATGAGGCGATGTTGGCTTGACAGGAGCTGGTTGCTGCTGCTGTTGTTGTTGTTGTTGCTGCTGCTGTTGCTGGTAATGGGCCTTGTTTTCGGCCAACAATCGATCCAACGACCCAGGTGTGAACGGCTGTTCCGGTGGCGTCGCTTTCTGCATCGTCGGCGAAGTTGGACTCGACCGTGCAACCCCTGTTCCAGCTTCTGAATGCATACCGAGCTTGTTTCGGTCATAGCCAATAGGAGATCCCGGTGGCGACATGCTTTCCTTCTGGGGACTAAAGTTAATAGGTGACGGGGCCCCTCCTGTTCCTGTTCCTCCTACTGCTATTGCTGCTGCTGCTGCTGCAGCTGCAGCGGACGATGACGATGACGAATGGAGGTGGCTGGCAGTATGAGCCTTTTCCATCTTGTGATAGACGGAATCATCATGGTTTCGAGACTCTTGGTAGAATCCAATGGCATCCAAGACAGCCTATAAGAAATGATGAACAGAGTAACAAGTTTGGTGATTAGCAATTCCACCCTTTTTTCGAATACTCTTGTTTCCTTCTTGTGCTTCGTTGTCCATTTTATATGCGTTACCTGAGGATTCTGGTATTGTTCCTTCTTGGAAATGCCACTCTGCTTCAACAGAACTTGCCATTCATAGGGTAAACCAGTAAACTCACCCGTGGTGGGATCGAAGCCTACGTGCGTTACATGCTTGGCATTATATGGGCCCGAGATCTCCATTTCCTTTTCCTCCGTGTTTGCCGCCTTATCCTTATTGAGCAGATCTATTGAGATACACACATATACTTCAAGTCATTTTCTGCTAACAGTATTATACCATTACTGCACACGAAACCAGCCAATCATTTCCGTGATAACAATGACAAACTACTATATATTCTTACCGTTAAAGCTGCCAACCATTTTGCCAAAGACACCCTTGAATGTCGTCCGGTCACGCGCTTTACCAAACCCTGCATTCGAGAGTTCCTTCATCATTTCCTCGGCAGAATCGTCACTCGTCTCACTGATCTGGCTGTTGCCTAAATTGGATGTCAATGTCGATGAATTGTTGTTAACGTTGTTGTTATGGGCGGTAAGGGAGGTTGCAGCGGCGGTGGATATGTTAGGATGGGATGAGGCGACAGGATGATTATGTTGGGAGGAAGCAGTATTGTTGTTGTTAGATTTTACGATGGGCGAACTAGTAGATGGTGGTGGTGAACGATGACGAGATTTGCTGTTAAGGGATGATGATGAGGTGAGTTTGTTTGCTGAAGACGATGAGGTCGACTGAGATTTGGATCGTTTGATTGGTTGGATGGCATCAATACCCGTGTTACTACTGTTATTGTTGTCGGAAGCACCATGGGGTCGATATTGAGGCAATGGTGGAGGCGATTTAGACTGCAAAGAGAACTTGCGAGAAGCACCTATATAGTATATATCCACATCAATGCCAATTAAAGTTAGATACGCTTAAACAGCAAGCAAAAAGTAGACGTATACACGCAACAAACACACTCTGGAAATATCGGATCAAAGCGTACACTGCTTACTAGCACCAAACTCCCAAACCACTTTTACTGCTACTCCCCACGTCCCAACACTCCAACACCCGCATATATGCACCTGAACGCTTTTCGGTGATTTCTTGAGAGTTACCAGATGCAGCAGAGTCTTGGTTGCGAATGTGTAACCGTTGCAGATGGCCAGAAAGTGATCGATGAAGGCTCGAGGTTGATTTACTGTTGTTATTGCTAGGTGATGACATTGTCAAAGTAATAATAAAAATACGGAGAAAGGGTGTGTTGTGTTCTGGGGAGGGAGATAAGAGAGAAGAAAGAGAAGGAAGCTTTCTGGACTGGGTTCTTGGTATTGTGTATAGGTAATATAACCTCGTTATTGGTTGCTATTGTTGTTGTTATTGTTTTGTCGCCTATTGTAGCTTTTGGCTCGTTGTTTCTTGGCCTTTCGTGCGTGTGGAAGAAAGGAAAGGTAATAATAAGCGGGCACAGGTTTGTGGGGGGTGTGGAGCTAACGCCAAAGAAGAAAAGAAGGAAAAAAACTGGCGAATCAGGTAAACCTTGTTTTCAAGTGCAAACGAGAAAAAAAGATGACCCAAGAGGAAATTGAGCCCAGTAAGCTTTGCTGAGTGAAAAGGGAAATGAGGGTTGAAAGGTAAAGAGGTGCGTGTGGGGTAAGAAGCGAAAAAAGAAACAGTAAAGCTCCTCGAACAAAAAAAACCGTGAATAATGGCGCACACACACACAGCAATAGCAAAGCGACTCCAGCAATAACACCCAGTCAACCTTAACAAAGCACGACTCCGTCTTTTTCGATTCCTGTTTCCCCCCACTCATAGAAAGTAGGAAAAAAAAGCCCGCTGTGCGGTGGGCCATACATTCATTCACCACACACCACTTGCCATGGCTTGCCAGTCACACAAGGGTTACACGGGCAATTTACACGCTGTTTGTTTTCACTGATAACAGACAGGATATCCAAGTGTGTATGTGTGGTCAGTCCCATCTAATATGGGGTCAATGTATCACACAGTTTCTTTTTATAAAGGTCCTCAGCACAAGCCATAAATAAACGATCTAATCGATTTACACACACGCGCACGGTATAAAAAGTCTGTACTACGTTTGCTACGAAAGAGAAAGAGAGCAAGGAACCGTCAATGGAAGGCCCTCCATTTTCCACTCTTTTTTCCAGCGATTCGATCTTTCTTTCTTTCTACCGATTAACCATTCCGGATAACTGGTTATTTTACACATCATCAACTGTTGAATCGCACCCTCTGCTCCTGTATTCATCGTCTCGATATTATTTACTCCCTTCAGTAGAACAATGTGTTTTCTCTTGTACTGATCGTACCTGAATAAACCTTATTTTATTGGGTTTTCCCGCACCAAGTTAGGAATAATTTCACGCCAATAAGAATGCGTTTCCACAGAATTTTACATAATATGCATCAACTTTTAATTTCATTGAGAATATGCAACAAAGAAAATGCAACAGATTACCACAAGACTTTCATTTTTTAGGCAAGCATCAAAGACAACTTTACATGAGCTATTCATCCAACACAGTCTCCTTTAACAAGTACTGTATGCCATCACCTGGAGGAGTGCCCGGTCAACAACAATCAGTTGGAAATGCCATCAGTGATGGAGATATAAATGAGGTACTATCCATGAAAATTTTGTAGATATAAGTATATATACTTAGGAAGTCGGAATTAGAGAGCGATACGTACATGCAAGATGTAAAGAGGTGTAATATATTGAACCATTCACCCTATCCCGAATTTCACTTGCTTTGTAGCTATAAATACAACTGCGTTTCAAAATGATAAAAGTTTACACTTGCGTATTCTTGTTCAGAGAAGTATGATGAAGAAATCTGTATAAAGCATCATGTTTTTCTTGTCGTGGAGATCATTATGGTCTATCTAGTTTGGATATGATAATGACCCAATCGTATGTCTTTTCTTGATCCAGCATTAAGCCAACCCCAGGGAGACGATTATAGCGCGGATGCCCCATGATCAAACGACCAGCCAGCCCATTAATTACCAGTTTGAGCAGGATAGATGACAGGATGCACCACCAGGATCAAGCAAAGCATTGGCAAGGCGAGTGAGCACTTTTGCATCGATGTTGATGCAAAAAGATCGACCGCCAGTTAAATAAAGTGAAAGGTCGTCTTTTTTTTAGCAGTAATCACAAGCGAGTTTCGGCCCAAGAAAAAGGAAAAAGACCTGCCATGAGAGCGTCGTTAAATACATTGACTGCGATAGCTCCGGTAAGGTGATGGGCAAAAAGCAGACTTGAAATCGGATATGGGAGACCATCACTGCCAGGGTTGCTAACGCGTGGTGCCCGGCTGACGCCATCCTGATGCATATCCATAGTAAAAGGCATCATAAGCTTCAAAAGTAGCTCAGGAGCATCCAGCAGATCGGTTGGTACAGATTGCAGTAAAAGACAGGCAGCCTGCGTGTCAATAGCCTGGAGCATAAAGTTGCTGATAATACTGTATTGGTGCACGATGTCAATTATAGTGTCGGGTCAGAGCAAAAGGCGATGTTTATTGATTGGCAGAGATGAGAGATACTGCGTTTGGCTTGGCTCACTTCGATTGTACGCTTGAGGTATCCAGCAGAACGTCCTTGTCAGTGGTATGTAGTAGCTTGGAATTATGCAATTTCCACCTCGATAGACTTGAGGTAGGGGTCATGCTTTGAGCATCTGCAACGGGGTTGTTAAAGTCCGTTGTTGCGCTAAAACTAACACCGCAATTCAAAACAACCTGTGTCTGCATTGTCAAACTAAGCACTCTGTCAATTTTTTGACCAAAATCGATATATGTATCAACGCGCCCTCTTTGCTTTTTTCCTTATCACCTTCCGTCACCATGACTATCACAAACGTTTCTACTGTTCCTTCTTCAGCTAACACCATCACTACTACCCAAACTAACACCCCCATCGCTACTGCTCCTCCCACCAGCAATAGCGAACGTGGAGAATCCTGGATCACGGAGCATGACGTGCATTTGGTGAATGCCTACTTGCAGGCAAGCACGAATCCCAGAGACGGGAGTGCCATGGGTGAAGACACCCTTTACGACAAGGTGTTGCAATTCTTCACCGAGAATTGCGGCAAGCCTATGAATCGCACTGCAAGCCAATGTAAATACCGGTTCGCCGTCATTTCCGCCCAGTGCTCGTATTTTTCTGCTTGCTATGCGAAAGTCTTGGCCGACGAAAGAAGTGGAGAGAATCTCGAGACAAGGTACAGTACCTTTGTCACATCCGTAACCAATTATAAAGCAACTAATATACAGAAATAGATTAAGCGAGCCAAGGAGCACTACAGCCGAAAACCGCCCAGTAACAGTGGCAAGGTTTTCAACAAGATGGAATGTTGGACCATTTTGAAGGAGGAACCAAAGTGGCAACCGCGCGTTCCCTCGCGCAAGGATGAAGCTCTTGAGTCAGGAACTTTTCCTGAACGACCAATTGGCAAGAAGCAAGCCAAGGCCGCTGTCAAGGGTAAGAAGCGAGCTTCGGACGATGACGACCGTGCCTTGAACCTTGAGGAGAAAGCCTTAGAGCTTTCACATTAGCAACAAGAACACGATGAAAAGCGAATTAATTTGCAAGAGAGGGCTTTTAAGCTGCAAGAGGTGAACGCCCACACCCAGCGAATCAAGGCAGTATTCGAGATCATGAAGGAGGATCCGGATACCATGCAAGGTATTTGGGCCAGTATGTAACCATTTCATTATTGTTTTTAAAATGATGAATGTTTTTATTTACTGATACAAACTATATTTTCTAGCCGTCAAACGTTCGCGAAAAATCACCACTGTTGTATCTACGACCCGAGGATGAAGCATCTGGTAGAATATGTCTTTATTTTAATGAATGATGAATACTTGTTTGGAAAGTTAGAAACTAACCTGTAATTAATTAGTTTCTTCTCAAAATACTGAACAATCTGAAGAGGAAGAATGCGCTGCTCCAGTAAGTGAAGATGTGATCCCGTCCATATCCAAATATACTTTTTTATTATTATCTATTATCAACTTCTGGTTCTATTATTATCTTAGATTTCTGACAGCGAAACCGATGGTAGCTCTTACAACCCAAACAGCCGAAGTGAATGTTCAGAATACTCAAAAAATCCTTCGAAAACGCAAAGTTGCCTATGGTTACTTGGTCGGTGGTGGCTTGGAACAGTATGATCGCCCATTCAATTGCAAAAAGGTTGGTATACTCCCATCATCTCTCTCGGAGAAACCATGAGACTTATTTTTTGTTTGACTAACCATTGTTAAGTAGTGGGTCAGTTCGGAAATGGATTTGGTAGATGTTTTTTTAAAAGTACAGTCTACCCCCGTTAACGTCAACCCTCAGGATACCAGCAAAAGTGCTGACCATATCGAGGGTTGACGACCACCGGGGGTAGAGAATAGGCAAAATCTTTAAGTGCTAAATTTGAAAGGGTACCAGCGAATCGGTTGACGCTATCGGGGATTGACGTTATCCGGGTTGACTGTAGGCCGCCAGAAGAAATATTGACGAAGCAAAGATATTGGTTAGCAAATGGGTAGTGGAAGATGATTTAGAAGAAACCATACTGTATCAGGACATCTTACGTGACATGTAGGTTAAAACATTAACGATGCTGGATACCTGTATCTAATAACAGAGGCTAAAAGTCCTATTTTATATATTTATATATATTTATTGAAGGTTCAAATCGTATTCCAATGTATATGATCCATCAAAAATCATCGAAGACACGTTTGTCAAAGATAAATTGTTATATTTATGATCAGGATCTGATCTAACATAAATAAACATATAGCGCAAATGGCGAAATCGCTGGATCGAAAGATAGAAAGAAAGCATTTAATCCCGAATCAGGTGGAAAACGAGGAGACTTTACTGTATATACGTGTGATGGAGCCAAAAGCCAACTCCTTTGCCTGATGGAATGTAAACCTCCACGAGCGGGAAATAGCGACGATCTGTTCAAGGCAGCAAATTGTCTATAAGATTGCATAGACAAGTCTGTTAGAGATGGTTGATTGCAGTGACTTGGGGTTTATATGCCATTGTATCAGAAGGTATCTTTAGGCTTTATATTTTTGGTTACTATCTATCGACGTATCGTCAAAACTGGATCTGACCTTTTTGTGTTTGTTTTGTAGGATATCGTTGTCACGTCCTTTGTCTAGACTTAAAGTATCATGGAATGTACAGATTGGTAATGTGGGCACGTTTTATATTCCTACAAGCATTGACAACATGGATACTATGCTCGGTGCATTTCAAGTGATGAATCATGTACGAGTAAGTTACTCGTATTATTTTACTACAATGGACTTGAATAAGGAGGATAGGCTCTGATTGAATAATTTTTGGAGACAATGGTTTTAGAAGCTGTACGATCATGTAAAAAGACCATCCGCATGAAAGTAAAATAACAGTCAAGACATGTCACTTCCTTCGTTCGATTCCCCGGTTCGCGTCTCGGAATTCAAGGTATATTGAGATTGATATGATCAGTATCTATACAAATCGCTCATTAAAAATATACTGATTGTAGGCTTTAAAAATGCTACAAAATGACAAAGAAGCTCTTGTTCGTGTTCGTCGCAAATTGAGTTTAAAAGAAGAATAAGTAAATATAATACGTTTTTATGCTAATATATCTCATTATAATGATTAACTGTACGTTTCTAAAGATGATAATAATGTATATGTAATAATTAGGAACAATCCAAGGATGAGTTTTCAAAAAAGCATACTGAAATTTAGCAGAAAGAACAAGCACATGTAATCAAGCATTTGTATCATTACCAGTCCGGATATCTATCATATAAGATTGTTGAATATAATAAATTACTGCACGTGGTGCGATTTACATATAGTGAACATTGGTACCATTTCATAATAAAGTAGGTTTTCCATTGTATGACGTGATACATGTGTTTTTCAAAGTAAATCATCTTACTCTACAGATATACAGGTTAAGCTTCATCATATATTTATTGGAAGGCAAAAGACGATACGTTTATAGCATTCTTGTCGCTTCCTTGCGGTGCGGCGACTGATAAGAAAAAATACATAGTAGGAGGTGGTGTTCTAACTGAAACACCCCTTCTAAAGAGACGTCAAGCCCGATTAAAATGTTTGGTGAAAAGAGGTAACAAGTAAAATAAAATAAGAAAGGAAAGGAAAGGAAAGGAAGAGAGAAGTGAAGGTGTAAGAGCGGGGGGGGGAAAGAGCTGTCTATATACGCTATGAGTATAGTGAGGGATGTGGGGATGATGATGCCACATTGCCTAGGTCTAGTGCTTCCTTGGGCGCCGGTTCATATGTATCGTAGTCAGTGTCCGGGTGGCTCAACTTGTGGATTTCACGCCGCACGCCACAGCACGCGAGTAATGCCGGCCAGGTCATTTCCATTTGCCACAAGACAATTCTATATCGGAACGTGGTAGTTTGTTTATGATATGGTCGATGATTTGTAGCTCGTTGTCCTGATCTGTTGGTGTAGTGCTGAAGGTCGTGTACAACTGCTGGAGTAGTGGTGTCAGCGATGCGCAGCTGGCGTAGTGCTCCCGTTTCGCACGCGGTGCTCGGCAACGACAATCCTTGAGTGGATAGGATGGTAGCCAGTGCATTCTCCATTTGATGAGAGGACGGCGGTTTCTGGGAAAAACGGCCAGATAGAGTATGGGGACAACTTTTCTGGAGGGGCTTGAGACATCGGATGGCTTTGCATGAGCTGCGTCGACGGGCAATTTCTCCATCCCCCTTTTGGGAGATCGCTAATTCCACCGCGTCGTTCGGCGGATTGTCATGTCTTAAGTTTTTGCTATCGTTGGTGTAGGGATTCGGTGGTAGTTATTCTTCTCCAATAGTCGTCGCCTTGTTTACTCCAGAGCAGCGAGTTCAATTATTCTAGCCATCCTGGATACCGGCAGAGGCGTAGACGGGTGACAAATTTAATTGGATTTTTCGGATGAGAGTTTGCATAGATGGTAGATTGGCCAGCACCAGAGGTACGATCGTAGGAAATGAGGTAGTGATATTGCGATTGAAAGTCATTTTGATACAGCTGTTTTGTGCTCGATGTATCTTTTTGAGTTGGGCGGCTGATAAGGCGGTGATTGCAAGGCCGTATTCAAGAATTGGTTGGATAAAAGCTCGATAGGTTCTTAACGCAAGCCAAAATCCCATGCCATATTGTGAACGCCGAGTCTTCGCAGGAGAACCATTCCCTCAGTTGCTTCGGTGGTGCGTGGGTTGATAAGCTGTTGAACGTCGATACCCTGACTGATGAATGGAGTACTCAGATACTGGAATGGTTCGACGGTGCGCCGTGGTTTGTTGTAGATACGGAATGTGGGATGGTCGATTGACTGGTGTGGAGTGATCAATAATGGCGCATTTATCGGGTGCCAAGAGTATCTTAAGCCTCTATTTTACAGGTATATATCAGTCTGATTGTGTGTGTAGTATGGAGAACCTTCTTTAGCAGTCAATTGATAGAACAATACGTATCTTTTGTTTTTGGCAGCGTGGCAAGGACAACTGTACTCCTCGAACAATTACTATTCTCGTCCCCAAATATTACCTATAATTTTATTTACTGTATACAATATGGTGCATCCTTTATGATTGCAAAAAGTGAACTCTAATAAATGACCGAAAAGTTGATGTTTTGCTTATTTGTTATTTAAATATCATTTTCTAGCATCTTTAGGAAAGTCGTTGAACCCGGGTTTACTTCTTTTGTTAATAAATGGCTGAGGCTGTATGAACTGAACTTTACGCAGGATTCGAAGCCAGGATCGTCCTCAGCCAATAGAATTGCGTGCCGTCATTCCGTGTTGCATGTTGGCGTTTTATTTTGTTTCCCCATGCTTCCACTCAATAAAATACAGAAAGCAGCACGATTAAAGAAACGCAATGCAAAAATGTACTTATATCGAGCACAGATCCCTCAGCAGACATGTTTACATTTTCTTAACAAAGAGATATAGTTATGATAAAAGGAATGCTCTGTTTGCTTTATGATTATGCACCATAGGAAAAAAGTGTGCAGGATTTGTGCAAAAATGTGCGGAATTTGAGCGATGTGTAAGAATGTGCGTTTACGTAGTTTTTTGGACATTTTTTGCACACAGCTTTGTGCAGGATATGTATCCTTTTGCACACTCATTGCACACAACTGTGCTGGTTTTGTACGTTTTTACACACACCTTCAACGTCTGACAGAGTAACACTAGCGTTTCATTGGGTAGATACAACAGCATTTCTCCAAAAACAGGCTTCTCACTGGACGAGCCGTACAACGACAGAAAGTAACTCCCGATTATCATTGGACCAAACATACTATTCAATTGCTTTTTTATAGATATAGGATATAGCGTTTTATTCTTTTTTTTAGGACAACAAAAATCTGTTATGGGAATATTCATAGGGAAATAAATAATAAAAGAACGATGGCGATGCAAAGACTATGACGGAAGAAGAGAGGAACAAAAATTGTGTAGTAGTACAGACTTTATCGTAATTAAAAAGAAGTTTAGCGGATAGACGACCTTGTTAATAAAGGAATTGTTTATTTTAGCGATACGAGCAGAAAACACGCAAAAGTAGATCACGATAACAATACTTACACCAAAACTATTTATCCTTGCCAGTTTTGCGTGGTCTGCGCCGTCCTTCGTTCTCAGTATCGTGAGCCACTATTCAATGAAGAATCATTAAGAACGAAGAACGAAGTTATGAATACGTTTAAGGTAACTTGAAGAGTACATACATACACTGCCTACCTGATGCTGTTCTTCTTTGTCTCTTTGCTGTTGGTCTCGGTTGCTGCTGTTCTTCCTCATCATCCGTATGAGCAACATCCGGCAACAGAAGCAAGGGTTGACGACGACGCTCAGCTCTATTAAATTACAGAGTTATAAACGTGTAATGTGATGTAAGTACAAGATTTTTTTTATTCTTACTGTTGCCCAACCATGATGCTAGCATCTCCTGTGACGACTTGTGCTGCTGCTGCTGCTGTTACTGATGACGAAGATGATGGTGCTGCTGCTGCCTCTACTGACGATGACGACGATGATGATAGTGATGGCGATGGTGAAGCTACTGCTGCTTCTACTTCTGGTGATAATGATGATGATGTCGTTGTTGTTGCTGATGATGATGCCGGGTTTTGCTCTATTGACAATGAAGTTATAGTTGACATAAACAGCCAGCTTTTTTTGATAGTGTGTTACTTACGATCCGTGGAGTCATCGTCACCCTTCAGCCAGAACTTTCGGATAAATAGACGCGCCCCCCAGTGGTCTACGCACATGGCCAGAGGAAGGTATGGTTGCGCTGCCTGCTCAAACTCTTGTAAAGTAATAAGCTGCATGTCGGTGCTAACGTCCTTCCAAAAACGAGGCAACGGTTTGTTTTTAATCTTGTACTTATTCATCAGCGTCAAGGATGCTTGCTCCGCAAGTGGTTTACAGCTGGCTTTCATCAACCTGAAGTATTGTTCTTTGTATCCAGGGCCTAAAGCTTTCTTTAACAATGATTTGAATATGTCCCAGCCAAATTGCATATCGACGATTTGCCCCTTGTTATTGTTGTACGTTGGCTGTTCTGTAGTACGCTCGAGAGGAGGAAAGGTCGGTAAGCGTGATGCTGGCACATGCGACAGGTCAACAGGACTAGTTGCGTTCTGTTGAAGAGCGCAACGCAGGAGGGTCTTCATTGTTTCCATTTCTTTTGCCATACAGTTGACCTTTTCTAATAATTCAGAGCGCTCTTCCTGCGTTTGATAGATGATATCGCGTAGTTGCTCACGATCTTCTTCGGATTTGCGTCTGTATTCAGAAAAGCTTCTTTGGATATCCCCAATAGTTTCAAGAAGTCTAGTGTAAGCTGGGTCAGAGTACATGGTGTATGTGGGTGATGTGAAAGTGAAAGAAACGCAAAAAGGAAGCAGCGATATTCACGTTAGGAATGAAGTATTTAGTATTTTCTTTTCCAAGTTCAGTTCTTATTGCAATACAGATTGATTAATGGAATGCGATAGTTTTTCTGATAATGCTTTTGTTTTATGTGATACGCATATGTCTTAGTGGTTACTATGTATCCATTTTTAACATAATACACATTTGCTGATATATCTCAAATAGTCAAAGGATAGAAAATACATTAAATTAAAATGGTGATTTGCTTTTCCAGGAAACAAATAAAGGGGATGCATTATGCATAGATTCAC